AGACCTATGCAACTTTACAGTATATAAGTTAAATCTCAACTAGAATAAAAGAAAACATTAAAACCCCTACAATTTTCTTGATTCTTAAGGCCATGCTGTTTTTTAAAAATATTTGTAAAAATATTTATTTTTGAGAGAGACAGAGAGGGAAAGAGAACACATGGGGGAGGGGCAGAGAGAGAGGGAGATAGAGAATCCCAAGCAGACTCCAAGCTGTCAGTGAAGAGCCCAGTGCAGGGCTTGAACTCATGAACCATGAGATCATGATCTGAACTGAAATCAAGAGTTGGACGCTTAACCAGCTGAGCCATTCAGGCACCCCAAAGCAGTGATGTTTTTAAAACCACACTCTACTGATATCTCTGACATTGCCAACCAAAGATTTTGAAGGGATAAGAATATATATTTCTTAAATTACTAGATCACTGTAGGTACCGAGGTTGTAAGAGCTAACTTATTAGATCATAATAGCTGGGAAATGGGGCAAAGACATGGATAGAAGAATCTATCTATCTATCTATCTATCTATCTATCTATCTATCTATCTACCTACCTACCTACCTACCTAATGTTATATTAATTCATTCAACAAATATATAGTGAGCACCTATTATATGTTAAGCAATATTCTTATGGTGATACAACTATAAAATATGAAGTGTTCATATTCTAGTCAGAAAGGATACAAAATATTAAAAATCAAGTAAATTATATAGTATTTTGAGATGCTTCTTTCTGCAGCGGAGAATGAGAAATGTAGTCACTGGTTTAAGTGACAATATTCCATATATAGAATATTCAACACTTCAACTCTTTTTTTTGAAAAAAATTTTTAATGTTTATTTATTTTTGAGAGAGACAGAGCACAATCAGGGGAAGGGCAGAGAGAAAGGGAGACACAGAATTCGAAGCAGGCTCCAGGTTATGGGCCGTCAGCATAGAGCCCAATGCAGGGCTCGAACTCATGAACCATAAAATCATGACCTGAGCTGAAGCTTAACAAACTGAGCCACCCATACATCTCTCAACTCTTAATCCTGGTCTCTTGCAGTTGAATTCCTTTTTTAAAGGGACTGAGCAGGACAATTTAATCTACACATCTGGGTTTATTCATACCCCTATATTATGACTGTCTTCTGTGCTCTGTTGATAAAGGCATCAACTTTTAACAAATCTTTTAGCTCAGACATCTGGGAATCAAAAGTAATATCTTGTGATATACATTTCTAATGATTAAACATACAATAATGGTGATGATGTTAATAATAAAAGAAATATAAATAATTGTACCTGAGAGGCAAAATGGAAATGGCTTCTATACTTTGGATACTCCAACTTGTTTATTTCTTTCATCACCTCACCTATACGAATCCATCATGGACTACAGAGAACATGCGTATCATTGCAGGCACAGGCTTACTTAGAGGAACACCTAGGAGCTTCAAAGATTATTCCTCACTTCAGACGAGTCTATAACAATCCTCTTCCAGTAAAAGAAAAATGTGTTTGGGAGCCCCTCAGGGGCTATCAACCAGTGACAGCTGCTGTATATTATATCGCTTAAAAAAGCCCAAAGACAAATGAAGGGCATGGTCAATATCATCAGTTAAATCCAAATTACTTTAGGTTTAGCCTCTGTTGAACTTTTAAGAAGATTCAGAGATCCATGAAAAAGGAACAAACAGGAGGTGGCTCTAAATGTAGTAGGGGGCTTTGGGATGGCTTTACAGCTTCACTTCAAAATGGGCGATGCTAAGCCCTGAGGTCTAACATTTTGATTCTGGAACATGTCTGCTCAGTGTCCTCATGGCCTCTGCTAGCCTGCCAACATAACAGAATGTGAATGCTTTGAGGGCTCTTCTGAAAGGCAGTCAGTGACTGATAAGAAAAGGGAGGTTCGAGGCAAGCTAGGTGAGAAAAAATCACTGCTGAGTAGGGAGGAAAAAAGAAGAAAGAACAATGTCTGTTTCCAGATTTGTGCCTTTGACTTAAAAGTTCTTGACTCAAGTTTAGATTTTCCAAATAATGTCTCCTTGTTCCATATAGCTCAATAAAAGCAACTAAAAGAGAATATTCCAAGCACTGGCAATTGAAAAACAACTTATATTTTTGGTGTAATTCTGACAACACTGTATACATTTTTGTGATCCCCAGGCTATTCCTGAGACAACAGTGAGGTCTTTTTTTTTTTTTTTTTTTAATTTAGTATCAAAAAAGTTGAAGGAATGGTGAGGAGGACAGAAAAGGTAAAGGAATAAGAGGCTGATAATAAAGATTAATGGTCCTTCAATAAACATCCTATGTAGTAATTAATGATTAAAGACAACAAAAGAAACAAAGAAGAAAAGTATATTAAAAAATTTAGACACGTTTAAGGAGGGGAAAGCAATTAAGGAGACATTAAACCAAGCGGTGGAACTTAGGCAATTAGTGCTAGGTCAGTGGCCTTACAATAAACAGGGTGTCCTAAACCCTGGCAACACATCTCGAAAGGCCTGTCTCCCATCTGCCGGGAGCCACAGTAAATGCCTACGCAGTAACTGCCCTGCTCTGTGATCTGTGCACATGAGCTCTGCGACGGGCAGAAGGACCCAGAGAGGTGACAGCTCCTCAACGATCAGGTGGACCATAATTTTGCCAATGGCTCCCTCCATATTAGAATAAAAGAAGAGAAAAATACATGACGGTCTTTCTTATAAGTAGATAAAAAAGGTTAATTCTTGTGAACACCTTAAAACAAAACTCTTTTAAAAAGATGACAAAGTTTCTATTTTTTCCACTGCAACACTACAATCTTTCCCCATAAAAAAAAAAATAAAGGGGAAAAAGCTAATGAAAAAAATAAAACCATGAGTGAAAACTATTCCTGAAAACTTTGCAGGACTGTAACAGCTTTCTCTTGGTTAAATTGATTGGTATAGCAACATTATAAAATGACTATTAGGATTCATTGTGCACCACAGAAAGTGGTGAAATGTCAGTAGACTATACAGCAAAAAGTAATGGGTTCTGAACCCCTGTTAGTCAAAAATGATTTTGTTTCAAATTAGAAATTGATTTTTTTTGGACACAAGCCCTTTCCAGGCTTACAGCTTCTGTAGCTGGGCCCAGGAGAGATTAACCTCCACCACGGGTAGGGCTGGCCTGATGGTACCTTTCTCAAAGTGCCTTTTCCACCGCAGTCTTCGAATGTGGCTGTGGTCTTAACCAATAACACAAGTCATTTGTCCCTTTGCTATTACACTATATTTTTCTCCTTTTGCCATTTTATTTTAGTGCTGACACGCAACACAAATTTGTTGACAAGTTAACAGAAAACTATGTTAAGCTTTGCAGTGTAACCACCACACCAGTTTTGATTGGTTCTCTATTCTCCAAAGTACAAGGACTAAGAAGACAGTTAAGAGTTTCCCATCTTTCAAGGACTAACAGAGAAAGTAAAAAAGATTCTATCTCAGCTATGAAGTCTCTTCAATTTCATTTCTGTTTCTGGTAGCAAAGGCTAACAAGGCAAAAGTTGTTATAAGTTGTCCTAATGCAATGGAGGTGTGAGGAACTTCTGCCTCATGTCTGAGAAAATGTACTTGTTTTGTTTCAAGATGTGGATAGCTTTTCTTCTGAAGCCTGGACTAATTATCATCTCTTAATCATTTAGGAGAAGATTAAACAATTTCTGGATTAATCATAATTAAAATCAAAAGTCATGACAAAGGTGGCAGGTGATAAGGGCACAGTATACACGATCTTCTAATAAAGCACTGCCCATTTTTCAAATAAACAAATGCAAGAGTGGCTAGAGAGATCATAAAAAGCTGGTTGCTTAATACCAGAGATGGGCAGGTACAAGCCTAGATCAAAAAAAAGAGGTAAGTAAGACAGAAGTCCAAGTGAATGGTTGTGAGCAGAAAGGAGAGATATCTGGGAAAGAGGTGTGAGCAGAGGAGGCTCCAAGACTTTTTGTGGCCCTTTCTCTCCTGTACATCTCTCTGTACAGTGAGGCTTAGACTTGCTGGATTCTGCTGTGAAGTGCTTCCCTTAATAATTACATGAGGGGGTGCCTGGGTGGCTCAGGTGGTTAAGCATCCGGCTCTTTATTTCCGCTTGAGTCATGACCTCACGTTTCATGAGTTTGAGCCCCACATCGGGCTCTGTGCTGCCAGTGCAGATCCTGCTTGGAATTCTCTCTCTGCCTCTCCCCTGCTCACACACACTCTCTCTCTCTCAAAATAAATAAACTTAAAAAAAGTAATTTTAGGAGAGATTAAGCCAAAAGTTGCTCCAGAAACAAGAGGGAAACGCAATGAAATTTGACTGCTTCATTCCACATTTCACACAGTTACTTTATAATGATTGATTTTATACTATCTGCCACATCTGGGGCATCCGCCTGGTTTAGTTGGTGGAGTGTGTGACTCTTGATTTTGGGGTTGTGAGTTAGGGTCTCACGTTAGGTATAGAGACTACCTGAAATTAAATGTTAAAAAAAACCTCTGTGACCTCTAAAATAGGAAGAATTGCTGGTACTTAAAAGACTGTGAGGCAATATATGCATCAGACTTATGAGGTTTTGTTTCAGCCACAATGTACAACTGTCCATGACCTCTCTTCCCACCCTTCCTATATTTCTAGTTGAGGATTAACTGTATTTGTTAGAGTTTACTCTCCCAGCAGAAATTTACATTCGATTTCCTGTCCTCTTTACTCACTATGAACATTATTTTATGTCTATGACCATACTTACTGTTGATTCATCCTTACAGTTTGCTGCTTGCAAGGAGGGACAAATTGGACAGTTTCTCATAAGAGTATTTATTCTAAGAGAAAAGCTGATGCGATTCAGTGATCTAGCAGATGTGCCACTTGTGGCCTTGAAGGCACATGTCAGTTTGTAACATCCTTAACTCTTGCTCAGGGTTGTAGGAATCATCTGGAGTTCCTGGCTAGCACCCACTAGCCCTGGAACAGCTTCTTCTGCTGCCACTTATAAATGCGAAGCTTACCTCTCTGGGAACGATATGCATCTTTCTTTTGACATGTCCATAGGGCATCATCTTCTGTTTGTGCGTGAAACCCAACTGTCTTCTTCTCTTTTCTATTTTCGCCACTGTTAGTGGACTCCTGGTACTTTTTGATGGATGATGATGCTCCCAGCACCCAGTCAGCATATTTTGACTTCAATAAACTAAAAAGAATAACAAGAATGGGCTGTATGTAGAGAGTATAGATGGAGGTGCACGATCACATAAAGGCATATAAATTCAGCATGAGTTAAAATGCAATTCATGGCAGTAAGGAGTTCCTTTTTCTTCTTATTTTTTATTGAAATATAATTTGAATAATTTATACAAGGTCTGTTTTGTAACTTGCCACAATAATTTTGGAAAAGAAATGGTCTTTATCCTCAAAAAGCTTATATTTGGAGTTGGGGAAATGAGACTCAGACCCATGAAACTGCTAATAAAGCCACAGAGTATGACTAAGAGCCAGAATATCTGCAGAAATAAAAAGTAAGCTAAAACAAGACTTGCATAACTAAAATGTTTCCAAGTACTAAAATTGAACATTAGGGATTAAAATATCACCAATTTGCTTCAAAATGCATTTGTGTTTCTCATTTTCAATTGTTACGGTATTTATTATGTGCCCAGAGTATGTAAGGAGCAGTACAGTGGTGCATGTGGATTAACTGGTCTCTGTCCCCACATCATTTCACTATAAAGTCAACAAGGCAAATATGGAGAAAAAGGAATTTTAATGAAAATAAACACATGTACATATGGTTTTCTCTCTAATAAACTGTTCTCACCGCTAACACATTTCCTCCTACAACATTTTATTTTTTAGAAAGAAGTGTTAGAATGATGTATATTCCTTACCACCAGCCTCTTCCTTCACACTTAAATTAACCACAGACTCATGACACTTTGGTTTTGTCTTCCCCATGCCCATAAACAATGTGAGTGTCAAAGTGGAAGAGAGAGTGAGAGAAAGAGAGAGAGAGAGAGAAGGCTTTTACTCAAAAAGTAGAATCTAAATATTAAGATATTTAAACTCTCCAGAAGCAGAAGTAATCTCTAGATAGAAATAAGTTGGCAGAGAATTTACTGGATCCAAGTAATCTCAGGTGGCTCTTGACCAGGATTATAATCATGTAAACCTATCAAAGTCATTGGGTTTCTGGTTTATGATGATCAGAATTTTTAGTAATATTTGCTCACATCAAATTTATTACTAAAACCCAGAAATTAAACGGCTTATTTTTGGAGTGATATAAAAAACAAAAACTATTTAGTAGTATGGCTTCATATGAGCATAATGCAGCAAATTAAATTTATACTCTTAAAAAAAATTTTTTTTAACTAGAACTCAAAGATCACTTTCCTGTGTGGATTCACCAGTGGATGTATATCTTAGCTCATATAACTTCTATTCATGAGACAGGAAAAGGAAGAGAATAAAACTACTTTACTGTGAATGTAAGATAAGTTTACCTTAACCCAGAAGCCCCTAACGCAGGAAAATCTGAGGACTCCATCTTTGCTTGTTCTTATATGAGAGTTAATGCCACTAAGACTATTGATTCCCATAAATTGATTCATTCTCAAGTCAGCTGAGGTCCCAATTGTTGCCAATGTTGATTCCTCCCAATGCTGACTGCTTCTCGCTTCTTTACCCCTTGTCCATACTCCATTTCTATATCTTTGTTCCAGACCCAATCCTGGTAAGCCTCTATCTCAACAGGGCACAAGGCTTCTAATTTCTCTAAAATAAAGATGACTATAAAAAAAATTTCTTCTTTCCTTTGCATTTATTTCCAGCTTTACCAATCTACTATTCCTCTGTTAATGTCTCAGAAGAAAATCACACCTTTTATTCATACTCTTGATGTCACTGACCTATGCCTTCTGTGACTATGGCCTGTCAATTATCTTTTTCTTATAATTTACAAACTCCTCTCAACTTAATTCTTTCTGAGGATTACAAATAAGATCAGACTTTCCGCTAAAAACCAAAACCTAAACCTAAAGCCAGAAACTCTTCCCATCAGTGGGAAAGTATAATACTCAGTGTCAGTGAGAGTGAGGGGTCAAGAGCATATTACACTACTGGAGGAAATGCAAATTGGTATAGCTTTGGGTGGGTGATTTGTCAACAGAAAATAAAAATGTATCTACCTCCTAATAATTTTGCTTTTAAGAAGTTATTCTGTAGAATTACATAAACAACAGCATGAGAATATTTGTTCAAGGATGATCATTGCAGAATACTTGTATTAGGGGAAAACTGAAGGCAAATATTCAATAGAAGAATGGGTAGAAAAACCAAACAAATCGATGATACATCCATTATAAGGAATACTATTCACTTATTAAAAGGAATGAGGTAGTTCTTTATAATATTGTGGAGAAACTTCATGACATACTATTAGGAAGGAAGGAAGGAAGAAAGGAAGGAAGAAAAGAAAGACAGACAACTTGCAATCATAGAATGTATAATGTGATCTCATTTTTGTAAAAACAAAAATACACAAAAAATAAAGTTCTGGATGAATAAATAACAAACCTGTGAAGAGAAGCAGAAATAGAGTGACTTAGGGAATAGCTTTTATAATTTAATTTATATACTTCTGCATGTTTTCATTTCATCTCATAGGCATGCACTTTTCAAATTGAAAAAAAAAAAAACCTTTCACCACCTCCTTTACATTACCATCTCCTCTCTTACTTCTCTGCCAAACTTCTAGGAAACAATAATGAATTTTAAAAGACCTACCTACTAAAACTATTTTTTAAAATTTGTTTATGTAAATTCAAGTTAGTTAACATACAGTGTAGTATTGGTTTTGGGAGTAGAACTCAGTGATTAATTATTTAATACCTAGTGTGCATCCCCACAAGTGTCCTCCTTAATGCCCATTACCATTTATCCCAACACACCAACACCCAACACCCCTCCAAGAACCCAAAGTTCATTCTCTGTATTTATGAGTTTAACAGGTTGCCACACTCTGTTTTTATCTTAATTTTGCTTCCCTTTCCCTAAGTTAATCTGTTTTGTTTCTTAAATTCCACATATGAGTGAAACCATTTGGTATTTATCTTTTTCTGACTTATTTTGCTTAACATAATATACTCTAGTTTCATCCACATTGTTGCAAATGGCAAGATTTCATTCTTTTTGATTGCTGAATAATATTCTATTGTGTATATATAACACATTTTCTTTATCCATTCATCAATCAATGGATATTTGGTCTCTTTCCATAATTTGGCTATTGTTGATAGCACTGCTATAAACATTGGAGTACATGTGCCCCCTTCAAATCTGCATTTTTGTATCCTTTGGATAAATACCTACTAGTGCAGTTGCTAGCTTGTAGGGTAATTCTATTCTTAAGTTAAGCTCAAAAACTCCCACCCAGTTTGCATTCCTACTGACAGTGCAAAAGGGGTCCCCTTTTTCTGCATCCACACCAGCATCTGTTGTTGCCTGACTTGTTAATTTCAGCCATTCTGACAGGTGTGAGGTGGTATCTCATTCTGGTTTTGAATTCTATTTCTTTGACGATGAGTGATATTGAGCATCTTGTCATGTGTCTAATAGCCATCTAGATGTCTTCTTTGGAAAAGTGTCTATTCATGTTTTCTGCCCATTTCTTTTTTTTTTTTTAATGATTTATTTATTTCTAGGAGAGAGAGAGAGAGACAGCGTGAGCAGGGGAGGGTCAGAGAGAGAGGGAGTCACAGACTGAAACAGGCTCCAGGCTCTGAGCTGGCAGTCAGCACAGAGCCCAACGCGGGGCTCGAACCCACGAACTGCGAGATCATGACCTAAGCGAAAGTCGGACGCTTAACCGACTAAGCCACCCAGGCGCCTCTTCTGCCCATTTTTTAACTGGATTATTTGTTTTTTAGGTGTTAAGTTTGGTAAGTTCTTTATACATTTTGGATACTAATCCTTTATCTGATATGTCATTTGCAAATATCTTCTTCCATTCCATCAGCTGCTTTTTAGTTTGTTGACTGTTTCATTTGCTGTGCAGAAGTTTTTATCTTGATGAGGTTCCAGTAGTTCATTTCTGTTTTTGTTTCCCTTACCTTTGGAGACATGTCTAGTAAGAAGCTGCTGTGGCCTCAGAGAACTGCAGCAAAGGCAGTTCTAAGAGGAAAGCACATTGCAATTCAGGCCTATCTCAAGAAGGAACAAAGATCCCAAATACACGACCTAATCTTACACTTAAAGGAGCTAGAAAAGGAGTGGCAAATAAAGCCTAAAGCCAACAGAGGAAGGGAAATAATAAAGATTAGAGCAGAAATAAACAACATAGAAACAGAAAAACCCAGTAGAACAGATCAATGAACCTGAAAGCTGGTTTCTTGAAAGCAGACGTTCCTCAAGATTCTGTCTTTGTCTTCCATCGTCCCTCATCTAGCACTTTCTTAGCGTCACATCATTGTATTTTCAATTATGATTTCTAAACAAATTCATCTAGCCCCCAGTGCTCTCTAAAACTACTGATCTGATCCAGGAGCTGCTAGAAAGTTGTGAAGGGGGGTCTTGTCATACCTTCCAAAACAACTCTTGTGAAAGCAATGACATCATATTTACCTTGAAACTCATTCCTCCATGCTTCTATTCCCATTTAATGACACTACCATTCTCTTAGTCACTTACATGAAAAACATTAGTTATCTCAAATCCTGCTTTCCTTGTGCCCATTCAATAAATTAGTAAATCAATAATTCCTTTATATATTCATCAGATATTTACTGAGGACGTACTCTATAGGCCTGATAACATGCTATGGAACTGGAGTGGACAAAATTGAAAAATAAATATTTATTGAGCACATGATATATGCTAGGAGCTAAGTATACATACATGAACAAGACCTGATTCCTGTTCATAAAGTGATTTTAGTGGTGAAAAGAGACATTGAAACAGATAATTTTTAATACAATATGATACATGATATGATTCAGGATACAAAGGTGTTAATGGGAACACAAAGGCAGGGCATCTATCTGTATAAGGGAAGGGAAACTCCAGAAGCATCCAAACTAAATTTTGGAGGATAAGCAGGGGATATGGAAGGATATTCTAAGTAGAAAAAAACATTATGAGCAAACATACTAAGAAGTAAAATGTCATGATATATTTTAGGGAGAAGAGATGGTAAAG